AAAAAAAAAAAAAAACAAAGAACCAATATTTACAAATAACTACCTATATACGTATTTACAAATATACACATTGCTATGCCAAAGGTTGAAAAGAAGAATCCGCTGCTAACGCAGCTCTTTACCACAATGGAGAAGAAGTACCCACACCGCAAGTCGCAGATTCAACTTGCAAGCAGACTCACGGAAAAAGGAGTGGATCTACTTGATACCGTTTACCCTATTGGAGAGCGGGTATACAACAAAATTGCAATAGCTTCCAGTACGATAAAAGAGAATCAATTCGCCCGAGTTTTACCAATTCTTCTTGGATTTGCACTTTGTTTCTTTGGTGGTTGTTTCACTATACTCGTTACATTGCTTGAAGTGTTGTATCTTACCAGCTGGGACCGCATAAAAAAAAATGTTAATATACTCTATGATAATTATCGTGCAGTGCGAGAAGCGAGCGCAAAAGATGATACCGTGGATGCCAACAATAACGGTATTCCAGATGTTCAGGAACTCACGCGGAATGAACTTTTTTCCCGCAAGCTAAGAGTTTTTTTAAACTCTGTTGACATTACTGCTGTGAATGATGCTATGAATGCGTTGGTCCTCGCATTTCTGGCTATTACTGCTGCTCTTCATGATAAAATATCTTGTGCCTTGGCGTTTGGTTGTTCTACCGCCAATATTGTCAAAAAGTACTGTGGTTTGAAGAAATTTCTTGAGGATAATCTTCCTCCAGAACAAAAAAAGTTGGCTGAACCCATTTCAAATACTATCTTAAACGGTTTCTGTATGATTCTTACAGTTATATTTGAAAAGTACGCTATTACAGCGTATTGTGCCGCTCGAGGTGCACAACTAATTATTGAAAATGCTTCTGCCCTCCAAAAGGAATTAGCCTCCGCCGATGGGAAAGAGAAGAATATTGGTATTTCACTTGACACTCCTAAAGGCAAGGCAATTATCATTTTGTTAACGGTGATGGGATTCGTTTGGCAAGCATATAATGGATTTACACTGCCTTTTCCAATTAACATATTGCTCTTTCCCATCACCTTGGTCGATGGACTTCTTGGCGTCATATTCCGGGTATCTGTCGTTCTCTTAAAGTAACAAAAAAAAAGAAAAACTGAAAGAAAAAAAAAAATCAAAAAAAAAAAAAAAAAAAAAAATAAAGAAACAAGGAACGTAAAGAAAGACAGAGAGAGAGTCATTTATGATTTTGCAGGTAGCCAATCGGCAACCAAAGAAGAAAAAAACAAAATGAGCTTACTCATCCCAAGAAGGTTTGCGAAATGGAAAAAAAAAAAAAAAAGTTGCGGGTATGGAGGAAGAGGGAGAATTTAAAACTTTATACAAACCGTGTTAAGCGAGAAAACCCCATCCCCACCCCCGAGGCCCTCCGTAGAAGGTGGGTGAAGGGGGAATCCCTCTTCAGCGATGTTTTGCTGGTCATCGTTAATCATGTTCCGAATTTTTCTTTTTTTTTGCTGAGAAATATTGGGCAAGATTAAAATTGTTTTATTCAATTATATATACGGGTTCTTTTATCTTTTTCAATTCTTTTCAGTTTTCTTTTTTTCTCCATTCTTCTGGATTGGAGGTGTTGCCGTTGGTGGTGTCGGTTTTGACCTGTTCGCTTTGGCAGGTTCTCCTTCGCCTATTTTTTCTTTTTCCATTTTTTGTCTTTTTTCTCTCTCGACCGACCCGCCCTAGAACCGCCACCAAAGAAAAAAGGGAAAAGGACCACACAAACCAAAAAAAAAAAAAA